CCTGTTCCAATGCCTGATCAGCCTTTTGGGAAAGAAATTTTTCCCAATATCCAATCTAAACCTCTCCTGGTGCAACTTAGGCCATTTCCTATTGCCCTGTCCCTTGTTACTCAGGAGAAGAGACTGACCCCCATCTCACTACAACCTCCTGTCAAGAGAGTTGTAGAGAGTGATAAGGTCCCCCTTTGAGCCTCTTTTTCTCCAGGCTGAGCCCCCCCCCAGCTCCCTCAGCTGTTCCTGGCACCCCAGACCCTTCCCCAGCTCTGTTGCCCTTCTCTGGACCTGCTCCAGCCCCTCAAAGTCTTTCCTGTACTGAAAAGCCCAAAACTGAGCACGGGATTCAAGATGTGGCCTCACCAGGCACAACCAATGCAAATCTTTGATTGGATTTGGGAAACTTTGCCTTGGATAGCTGTTTTTCCTGTCCCTGTATAAAGCACAGTGAGTCAAGGCCAGTTGACACTCCTACTTTTATAAAGAGAGGGCAGAGATGAGACTCTTGTTGCTGGACACATCAGGGCTGTGAGTCAGCACAGATGACTGGTTTTCAAACTGTGGTGACTCAAAGCCATCTTTTGATTTCTGGAGTTCTTAGTTTCCTCTTTGTTTCTGTTTGTTTCAGTTGTGCTTTCTACAGCCTTATCTCTTCTCTTACCTTTGGCCATAAGTTGTGAGGGTGTGCTATAGATATATTAATTCATTTGTCACTGGTTTTATTCTTTCCTGTGAAGTATTATTTTGGAGTCAGTATGCTCTGTCTGCGAGGTCAGAGGCTGCAAACAACACAATACTTCTCCTACTTTCCTCTTCAATTGTCCACATCTTACTATGTTTAATATTCTCCTTCTTTCATGGACTGCTGAATACCTGAATTAATTAATTGAAGGTGACTTCAAATTTATATTAATTATCAGTCTACATGGTTGAATAAAGCTCATGGATAAAAGTAGCAATGAATAAGGGGTTACTTATGATAGCTAAATCCTTGTTAAATATGAAATCCTTTCTTTGCATATATGATACCAGAGTAAAGATTTTAAGTAATTTCCATACATTTATCCCAATGTTTCAAAGATATTGAAAGTGTGAATCTTGTCTGTGTGAAAAATTACTTTTTTAAAACAGTAATGAGACTATGTGTGTATCTATAGAAATTAACATGTAGTATTCAGCCTTTTGGAAGATTTCAAAAGAAAAATAGGAAGATTTCAAACATTTCACTAAAAAAAAAAAAATCATGGAAGTATAGTCTCTTTTTCCCATTAATCTCTAATTTTCCCACAAAAGCAACTTCTGATGACCATAACTTAGTTAACAGAGAGAAAAATCCTCACAATCTTACATATGTGTTTGACAAGCCACATACTGTATTGTACCATAGTGCTTTTATTTAAGCCCATATTTACCCAGAGAGATCCCAAAACTTGTGTGGATTATTCTTCTTAAGAATAGAATTGAATTCAAGAGCTGTGGAATAAGGTTTTGTTCAGGATAACTGCTCACTGTGGAGAAGATTCACTCCATAAAGACACTTAGGAGAGCAGGAAGGATCTGTAAGTCACTGATGTACAGCAGAAATGGGAAATTTGAAGACATCACACAGTTTGGTATAATTAGTTCTTATGGCTGAGGACAGCTCAGGATTAGAGCTGCTCAAAAGATGCTAGTCTTAAAGTAAATTGGATGCAGTGATGTAAAAGGGATGTACCACATTTGGCTGCCTTGTCTTTTAGTTAAAATTCTAACTAGTGGCCTAAGATGTTCAAGGAAAAAGCACTTTGTAAAAACTCAGCTGAGAAAGACAAAGGTGAAAAAATAAACAGAGAAGTAGCAGATTTTATGCCTTTTTTGGTCACAGTTGTCAAATAGGAACATTTCTAAATGAGTTGGCAAGAAGTGGGGAATGTGTTTTACTGTAATAACATTTTGTGGACTTTGAATTTGTGCTGGGCTCCTTAGTGTGTCTCCTTTTGCAAATATCTTTTTTTTTCATATTTTGTAACCCTTAGTAAAAAACTTAGCATAAAAAGTTGTACCTTTACTTGCATTGAATTAGTGTGTTTCTAGAAGAAGGAAACATACATCATGAAATAGTGTTCCTCCATAATTTTTGCTAATAAACACTTGTATATTGTTTATCATAAAAAAAGTTAGTGGAAGTAATCAGCTTGTAGATTCTTGGTTGTATTCTCTAGTTTGAGATTTAGTATAACACTGCCTGAAGTGAGGGAATTTTGGTTTTCATTAAACATAAGCTGAAGACAGATACCATGTCAGAAGTGAATGATAAAATGATAGTTCTTGTAGGGACCTTTAATACTTTCTCGTGATGGTTCTTTAGTGTGAAACCAGAGCTTGTGTTTGGTTGATCCCATTGTCTCCTGCTGGAGGATTCACAAGGACTCTCTTTCCATCCTTCCTGACATAAGAGCACTTTCTCTGAAGGGACTTCAGCCTGTGAACTGTACAAGTATTGCCAAAATATGATGCAATTTTCCTCCGTGCTTTCTCACATGCTGTGAACAAGCAGTGAGTGTGACACGGTGTGACCAGATCAGAAATGGTGTCCTGGCTGATTGAACAGTCAAAGAACCCCAGATCCAGAATGAATCTCTTTCCTGTTTTTAGCCTGTCTACCCCTGAGCACAGGCTGCTTTCTGGAGGATTTGGGGAAAGGAGCAGTGGTCTGTCCACATGGCCATTCCAGGGCTCTGCCTAACCTTGGTACCCTCACTGGGCGTAATCCTGACCCCCACCCACGGGTGAACACAGTGCCTCGTCCCTGGGGAGGTGCCCAGTGCTCCAGTCACCCTCCACTTGGGCTGGGCCTGCAGCCCAGGGGTAAAAAACCCTGTAACCGTGGCTTAGCTCCTGCCACTCTGCTCTTTTCCCATTTCTCAACCATCTGTTGAGAGACAGTGACTCGAGCTGGATTTTCTGCTGCCTGACCCAGTCTCTGAGCTGTGCAGCCCTGCGTGAGCAATGCTGCTTCCATCCTCTTTGTCCTCCAAGTAGCATTCCAGTAGGAGTGTTTGAAGCATCGAGATGGTGTATTACCATAATTGCAGCCAGTAGTTTTGACTATTTTTCCACCAACTGGCAAGGCTAGGAATTATTATGTCTCTTGAAGGGAAGAAAAGACACCATCCGTCTTTTATATTCTTTGTATTCTTGCACTGATGTAAAATACACTGAGATTATTTTGAAGAAGAACACTTTTAAATTCCTTTTCCTGAAGTTCACTTGATAACACTGCCAGAAGTGGATGTCTGTTAAAGGGAGAGGGAAGAGGAATAAACAAGATAAAAAGCTACTCATCTTTATTTGCATTAGACATTTCAAAAAGTGCAGCAGCTGGGAAGGATTCAGTGGGAAAAGCAAGTGCTGCTTCAAAGTATCACAATATGCAGCTTGCTTTGGCTTATTTTTTTTATTTTTTTTTATTCAGTGAGGGTGGTAGGAATTGTGGGCAGAGTGTGCTTGGAACCTTCTGTCTTCTTCCACTGACATTGATGATTGAGACCTGTTAACTTTTAGAATCATTTTGAGAACAAAATAAGTCACAAAACTTCTATAAAACTGGGCTTTTTGGGACTGAAGTTCATCTACATTTTTAAGTCAAGTTGACTTCCAAAGCATCATGCCTGTAAACAAACACAAAGTACATATGAATTTATCTTAATCATATGAATAAGTTAATGGCTTCTAATCTTCTGCTTTCACAAGTGGTGCACAAAATTTCTCTTGGAAAAAAAACCGTTATGAGTAATACTTCCTGAAGCATATTTCAGTTTCCCCTCCTATGTTCCCAGTCAAAGAAATCTAATTAGGAAGCTCCCCTACTAGTACTTTGAGTTAGAGAATATATTTAAAATTGCAGGATGTTTGTGTCCTGAAGGAATATTGTATTTTAAAAGCAAGAAGCATCAAATTAAAATTAAATCCCAAAATCTTGATAGACAGGAGCATATCAGACTAGGCTATTAAGATTTTAAATGCTAATTAAGAGATTCATTCTTTTCACTCATAAAATTTAGAAGATATGTATATATTAATTTATATAGTTTTGGTCACAGATCTCAAGCTTTCTGTTTGATAGCCCTTCAGCAGTCTTGGGTTTATATGTAAGTAATGCAAGTACCATGGTTGACATGATCACAGATCTAATTTTTTTTAAAGTATGTTCTTAATTTTAGAAGAAAAAAGATTTTTTTCACTCCTGACCCCCTATCACAGTTAGTCTAACACGATAAATAAGCAAGTTATTACTGGCAAATCAGAAAATTATTTTGGTTTTGTTAAATGTTTTTGGGGGGGGAGTTGTTTGTTTTGTTTGTTTGTTTTTAAATCAATCAGAACTCTTTCTAAGAGATAAACGAAGGAGATCCCTGAACTTCCTCAAAAATCCCTATACCTAACACTTCAGAGATAAGGGGACAGAGATAAGTGATTGCAGTGGGGGAGGTATCCCGAAGGGAACAATCACAGCATCCTTACACTCTCCCTGCCATCCCGGGCTGTGCAGTTCCAGAGGCAGACTCCTGGGATGGAGCAACAGTTTCTCTGATCTAATGCAGCCATAAATATGTGACATTTATATGTAATTTCATAAATATTTACAATTATCTGCATAGCACAACAGTGAAAGTAAATACTGGTACCTGTTACTCTTGATGGGATTCTTGATAGGCTATTCACAGGACAATTGAAAATCTTAAGATATGGTTTAGTGTCTGCAAAGCTTATTTCAGCAAATGTAAAACACCTGTATTTTGGGAAATAATCCTCTGACCCATTGATTTCCTTTTAATTACAGGAGTAATTTCTTGATGACTTTAATTCTCCTAAATACACTCATGACAATGCAGTAAAATCTGCAAAATTAACTAATACATGGAGTGATGCCCTTAGCTTTAAAAAGGGAATGAAGTGTAGAACCTTCTTTGTCTTGTTGTGGATGTAAAAACATGTATAAGAAATTTTCTATCTGTTTTTTTTAGGTCCTGAGGAAGCAGATTTGAAGTGCACCCCAAATTTTGTCAGCTGCATTGGTACCAACAAATGCATTCACTTGTCCCAGCTCTGCAATGGTGTCTATGACTGCTCTGATGGGTATGACGAGGGAGTTCATTGCAGGGGTGAGTAAATGTGCTCAGGAAAAATAACTTTAAGCTGGAATCTTCTATTGTGTTTTAATTTTGAATTCAAAGAGAACCAGAACTTACTTCTTTGAAACACATATACGTATATATATATATGTGTGTGTGAGTATGCACGTAACAACCAAAAGCAGAACTCACAGAGACATATTTTAATATTATTATTTTAATGTTATTGTTTTTATTTTATAAATATTTTGCGTGAAGAAAATGCAAGTAAAAGCACAAGTTTTCAGACTTCATGAGTTACTAAGCTCGTGTGATGGAGATAGTTATATCAAAAGAAGGATGAGGAAGCTCTTTTGTAGTGAGCAGCATTTGAGCAACACACTGTTTGCCAGGATACTTTTTTTTCCTTATAACTTTTTTTTTAAACAAAAAAGCAAAAGAAAACCACTGAAAAATACATTAAATTTGCTAAGAGCATTATTTTGGGTTGAAGACCTGCTTTTGGGAAGATTTTATTCTGATAATCTACTGTTTAAGAGTGTAGTTACCAAATTCTGACAATGAGAAATCTTGAGCAGAAGTTGGTGGAGGTCAACTCTTTTAATAGCTCTACTGCTCAGGTGACTTACTGAGGTCTACCTTGGGGATAGTTATAAGTCCAAATCTTGGATACCATGAGTCAGTTCTTTTCTATCAGTAGATTTCTAGATGAATGATTGTTGATGATCCTCAACAGATCTCTTGTTCAAAACCAGAAACTCAGAGACAGGTCCTGGGACTTTTGCCACAATCCAACATGACAATATACAGTAAAAGATACAATTAATGGTATAGTCCAGAAAGTTAAATTAGAATTTGAAATTTTATGTGGGCGTATTTTTGGAGCTGTCAGAGTATAAGTCGGCACCAAAAATAAGCCACATGGAAAAAACAAATTAAAATAAGAAAAAAACCAAATGCCATCTGGAATTAATCAGTGTAATACTGCTGACTTCACAAAACTACAAATGGTTATTTTTATATAACCAGGTAAGGATACAGGCTGTCATAAGATATATGACAGTTCTAATTCACAGTGATAGGAATCATTTCTCTTCTTGAAGGCTCAGCTTTTGATTAGTCCTTGTTCAATGGGCATTATACAAAATTAAAATTTGTGTCAGCATATTGGTTTTAGCACTGGTCCCAGAATCCAAAAAAACCCCAGAAATTAAACTGGCCAAAGCAGTGTTTGGCCTATACTGAAGCCTTCTGATGATGCAGGTGAGTGTTTTTCAGAGGACAGTATTAATCCATTAAGAACTGTTTAAATGTATAGTCTTCAAAAATTCATGTATTTGTATAAATTACTCTGGGTTAAATGGCAGAGGATTAAAAACTTCCAGTGCTGAAAAATTATTGCATTATAACTGTCTTGTATTTTTATTGTGTTTTAATTCTTTAGATCAGGACATTAAAGTAATTAGATATAAATAGGCTAAAAATAAAATCCGGTGTTAGTGGAAATTAAATATGTTTGCCTTTCATTGTAACATTTTATACATGTAGCCTGTACTTTGGAATGGGATAGCACATAAAATACCCAATCTTTATTCATGTCCTTTTAATTTAAGCTCTAATGCACCTTGTAAGGTTGACGTTGATTCCCACTCCTTTCTTTATTATCATACATGAATATGAAAACTGCCCAATGGAAAAATTAATGTCTGCTCTCATAAATCACCATAGAGTTTAGTTAAACATACTAAACAAACATTTAGTCTCTGCCACTCAGAGCACGTAGGTAATGAAGTCTCACAGTACCTCATCTAGGAAATGGTTAACAACTCATTAATACTGTTTTTTGTGGAAATTACATATTTTGATTTGCTTATTAGAGGCAGTACTGGAAATTATCAGTGGAAACGTTTCTGTCAACACAGAAAATAAATACAGAGAACAGTAATTTTACATGGTTTGATCACGTGGTTTGATACAAACAACTGCTACTAATGCGTCATTACATTCCTATGTATTTTAAATATTTGGTATGAATACTTTATAGTTGTAATTGTTCTCTCTACATATATCAGAACAATGCTTGGATAACCATTGAGTCATTCTGCTGTACCTTCTGAGTCTTGAACACATTAATCATATATTTAGCTCATCTGTGTGGCCAAAAGCTGCAAAGTGACTTCAGATATCCAGCCAAATAGCTTTTTCCTTATATTAATCACAAAAGTGGCATCCTCCATATGTTCCACTTTAATTAACATCTTTCATGTGAAATTTGATATTGAAGAAGATAGCAATTTTCAATATTCAATTGCAAACAACTCAGTTGGTCACAGAGCTGACGATTTTAAAATAATCTATTGCTGGTGACACTGATAGTGCTCTGTAAAGTCACACTGCAAGCACCAGGAAAATAAGTTATGGTGAAATATGGGGGCTGTGACCAGGGTAAAGACCATTTCAGTGCACAGGTCACTCTAAAGGGGTGAAAGCTTCTAGTAATGCTTAAGAACTAATGGAGATTAAGCATTCAGTAACTGGAACTATTCTAACTTCTTTCTCTAAATTTAACATTCTTATGTTAATTTGTTACATTGCAAATTTTAGGGATATACTCAAGCATGCACCTTTCCCTGGCAAGTGAAAATATGGTCATATCTGCAGTGTGAAATGGTAATGTATGGGAAATTTCAAGGAAATAGTAGTAAATACGATGAGATTCCTGTCTCATCATCTTTTATTTCAGACACATATACGTTTTTGCTGGTGAATGTAATGCATAAATTCAGGAGGGGTTGTGGCAACGTGAAATAAAAAATGTTTTATTATGTATGGTTGTTTCAGATTATGTGATTCAGTGTCCTTCTGAGGAGAAGGGGGCGAGTAGTTTGCTGAATTTGAAACTCAGAGCATACCATAGTGATAAGACATCTGTATTTGGATTACTTGTTATTTTTTGACTCATTAAAAATCCTTTCAAGATGCTGAATAAACAAGGGATCAGAGTATCTACTAACCCTTTCTATAAAGCTTAGACTGGGATGGGACTGTTAAGCTTTCTGTGAGTTGTCAGATCTAGTCCTGCTCAATGGGGGAGTTCCTCCCATCAGCTCTTTGGAGGGTTGATAAGGCTCAGATAAAATTTACCAATGCCAAAAATAAAGCCAAGCTCGAGTAGTTCTAGTAGAAGACAGATCCAGAGTTACTTCTTGATAATTAAGCTTCTTTCTTTGGCACAGTTCTCTAGGTTTGTTTTGGTTTTGTTTTTGTTTTTTGTTTTGTTTTTTTTTCTTTTGAGAGCCAGGCCTTTATTTCCATTGCATTTGCAGCCGCTTTTAAAGCTCAGCCATGCAATGAGCTGAGAACTCTTCTTACACGGGAGAGCTGCCAAATTGTTGCAAACTTAACTGTTTAGCTCTGAGTCTTTCCTTTACGTGGTTCATCCCAGTCCTGCCTCTGTAAATCCTGGATGAGCTCACCAGGGGCATCGCTGCAGAGGGCTGGGGCTGGCTGGGGTCAGTTAGAGCTGGTGTCATGTGGCTGCAGCTTGTGCCAGTCTCTCATTTTGAGGTCTTTTTGAAGGTTAAAATTCCTCTTCTTCTTCCTTTTTTTTCTTTTTTTTTAAAGTTTTAGGAAGAGCTTAGGCAAATATCCGTCACGGATTAGTTGTAGTAACCTGGCCTTGAGTAGGTAAAGGGTTAGATACGTCCTTAAGATAATTTCTAGAGAACTACAATCACATTCCCATGAATCTTAGGAAAGGTGTTTTACAGGGCTGCAGAGGTGATCTGTACAGTTTTAAAAATCAGTGCTTTTGATATATATGTATAAGGCAAAATATTTGAAAGTGGTATGCCAAAATTGGGTTTTGATCTGTCTCAGAGCTATAGGAAACTTAAACTTTTACAGAACTTGGAGATGTCCTTTTTTAATTAACTAAATTAAGGAAAAAGTTGTTATTATTATTAATAGCTACTGGAATAGCTGTGCTAAAATTTTAGATATTCCAGCCAGAAAATGCTAAAAGAATACTGAAAAAAATACCAGCACAAATAGAATTCTTTCCAAGTCCTCAGATTATTTGGATCTTTATTTGTGGTCTGAACCATAATCTCTAAAATCTATAATCAATAAAATATTAAAAAACAAACTCTGCATCATTTAGTGTTAAAAACCTGCGGAACACATAGAGAAGATTTGGCCAAAAATTGTTCTGTTTGTAGCAGCCTATAATCAGAGTATTACTTGCCTGTTTAGGCTTTTTGAATGAATTGTTATCATAAGATGAAGATAAATGCTGCTATTACTGAATCATGTTTTTGTTCTGGTCTTCTACAGCTGGAACACTGGGAAATTTTAGGTAGGGTTTACTAGAGGGGAAAATACAAATTTCAGAATTTCATGGAGCTTCCAGACCTTTCAAGAATAAGGAAAAATTATAGAACTGAAAGTTATCAACCTTCATTTAGATACTAGTCTTACTTTTTTTTTTTTTTTTCCTCATAAAATTGTGTAACAAGGCAATCAAGAAAACCTAAAATAGTCAAGAATTGTAAATGTTGCTCCATTTTCTCATGTGACTGTTTCTGGAAGGAATGCACACTGGCAAAATAATTCCCTGTAAACTCATTTGGTTTACTCTGACAAGCTTTAAATCACTCATCCTTTAAGAATGTGATGTACAAAGTGTCACATGAGGTTACTGAATCCTTGGGGCCCCAGGAAATCTCCCAGTGCTCCTGATGTACCAGTGGGGCTGCTAAAACCATCAGGTAACGTCGGGAATGATTCCCACTGCAACTGCTCTGTTTTCAGCATCAAGGTTTTTACTTGTGGTTGAGACAGAAAAGAGAAGAAAGTGTAGGCACTAAAATAAAACAATCATAGGTGTTTTTGCTTTGCAACAGGGCTGCTACTAAGGAGCTGCATTTATCTGGGTGAAAGCTTATTTTGTGTTCTTTGGTATCTCCTCATTTCACCATCCAAATATCCAATTTCTTGTACATTACTGTCTTTGCCATCCTTTTGCCTTA